CAAGAATGTTGCCTTATATAGAAGTGGGTGCCGGGAGTGGTTGCAGACAATGGGTGCTGCAGAAACGCAGAGAGGCTGGGATTGGTTGTCTGGACTGCGTGGGGCTGAAGACAGGAAACATTCCAGCATTCACAAAGGGATCGGATCTGGAATCCGGTGGTGTGCCGAGGGGAACGGGAATTCCGACTCGCCACCTGGAATCACCGGGAATGCAGAGCCCGTCAAAGGCAGGGCTCTGCGCCTGAGACTCAGCCGCCCCAGGAGAGGAGGAGGGGCCTGGGAATCAGACTGGTGTGGTGCTGGGCAGCGGGGGAAACAGAGGACAATCCCTAAATCCCAAATTCTTGGCTCAAGACCCAGATCAAAACCTGAGGACTTCTCTGCCGAAAGCGCCTCTGAATTCCTGCAGCCACAAGGCTGAGCTGGCCAAAAATGACGCTCAGAATGTGAGCAAGTAAGACGGTGATGCCACGGCCTGGTCCACTCTGCCCTGTGGGAGTCAGACGTGGACTGGGAAAGAGTGAGCTCAGTGCACGGAGCCACAGGGCAGGATTTGGGGTGAGGCTGAGCCCCCTGGACTCCCAAGCCCCGCCGAGCCCCTCACAGGCTGCAGCGGCCACTCCTTACCATCTGATGATGCTGGCCCTGCCTTAACAGGGGCCGCTTAATGGCCACCCATGCCCCACCATCCCTCAGGGTCTTCAGACCCCAGTCGGGTCCCCAGGTGGCCAGTGGGATGGGGCAAGATTGAATACCAACCTCAAACCAAAATCTGGGCGAAACTTTGCTATTTCATATGATCAAAAATCTCGAGACCACGTGTGAATGGATCACAGTGCCGTCCCTACCAGCAGTCCTGGATCCGGGGTGCCGGCCTCATGGGCTGCGGTGGCTCTAGTTGTTTCGGGGGTTGGTTTGTCGATCGGCAGGTACGCTGAAGCCCGACTGAGCGGTGGCCCACGCCCACTGAGGGAGAGGTGACAGAAGTGCCGAGGCATATTGTAGAGAGGGAGTCATGAACAACCATGGGTGACCCACCACACCTAACCACGACCCTTTGTGAGAGCCCTAAATACCATGGGCCCTTCACCAAGGAGGCATGAGCCAGCTGTGGAGGCAACCCAACAGCCTTCACAAGGCCTCAGTGTCCAGGTGAGGGTCCTGCCAGTGGCCCGACTCCTGATTTCTGGGCTGGAAACCAAGAGCCTGGGAGGGCAGAGGCCCCGTGGCAGTCGCTGCCCGGGGCAAGGTGGGTGCATTACCATCACGGCAGCAGGCGAGGTGGCCATCCCAGTGATCTCGCCAGCACAGCCTGGTGGTGCTAATGGATCACAAGGTCCCCAGGGCAAAAACAGCTCTGCGGCCCTCAAGCACCTGTGGCTTTTAACACCAGAAAGGTCTGTCTGGTAAACAGAGGTTTGACTGGAGCCCCCTGGACAGAGACCCATGATCCCTCCTCAGTCCCGGGCCCGGGTCAGTTCACAGACCCAGAGCTCCCCAAAAGAGGAAAAAACCTGACGTTCTGTTCCAAGTCGGTGCCATGAATCTCCCCCAACATCCCCCGGGGGACGGTGGCATTTACAGGAGACCTGTGCATGGGGGAGCAGCGGGGCGGTTAGAACCTTGCTGAGTCCTTGTTTCCTCGTCTGCAACAAGAGGACAATAATATCCGCCTGAAAGGATTGTCGGGTTAATTGAGTAGAATAATGGGATGGTGCCCGGACTATAAATGCATGCGTTGGCGGCAGCTGAGCTGTTAACCCCTCTGGGATTCGGTCTCCCTTCATCCATTTGTTTCCGTCTTCACTCCACTGTACTGCGAGCAGCCATTTGCTGGGTGCTGAGAGTTAAAAAATAACAGGTCCGACCACTGAGTGAGGATGCAGCGCGTGCCGGGAGTGGCGCTCGGCCCCCCGTCTCTACCTAAGCGGCAGCTCTGGGGGTCATACAAGGGGAGGAGGCAGCCCTGGGGTGACCTAGCGTGTTCTGTTGCTAAATATGTATTGTTTCTACTGTGGCACCGGCTCCTCAGAAGTTAATAAAATGAGGTGGCAAGTGCAGAGCTTGGGACATGGTGACAGTGACAAAGAGAGAGGGGAGGAAGGTGGCGGATGGCAGGCGGGGTGGGTGGTGCAAGGATGGATGGATGAGCAATGGATGATGGGCAGATGGATGGGTAGGGAATGGATGGATGGGTGAGTGGGTGGATGGATAGATGGATGGGTGGATGGATGGAGGGAGGGAGGGACGGAGGGAGAAGTGTCGATGTGGAGAGATACGACGGCTAATACACTTAGAAGTTTCATTCGACATGATCCCAACGCTCGAGGATCCTTTCCAGTCAAGGAAGATACAACACTAAGCACGGAGCGAGCTAAGCTGTTGCAATATCTTATCTGTAGTTGGTGACACCCTCAGGGCCTGCAGCTTTCCAGGCACACCACAGCGCGTGTGACAAACATCAGCCAGGCGAGCTGCGACTTGGGGCAGACACACTTGATTCCTCCAACAACAGACCTTTATGTTCGCTCACTCAACAGGTGTTTATTGCACACCTACTATGTACCAGGCACTATTCTAGGCTCTGGGGACAGAGTAGTGAACAAAATAACTCCATGTGGAGCTTCTGGGCAGGGGAGGGGGCGACAAGGAGAGATGCACCTGCAGAGCGAGCCAGATGAGGACGGGAACCACGGAATAAACGAGGCGGCGTAAGAGAGGGGGGTCTGGGGGCGAGGGCCTGCTCTTTGGGGAAGGTTGGACAGGGCAGGCCCCACTGGTGGGTTGACAGGTGCAAGGAGGCCCGAGGGACGGGCAGGGGCATCAGGCCGAGATCTGGAAGGAGCCGTGACTTTCCTAGGATCACACAGGGACCACACGGCTGAATCAGGACTGTAACCCAGGTCATGCACAGGTGTTGGGGTTCTGGGGTTCTTGGCGTGACACTGGAAAATAGTGGAAACACAGCAGACAGGGCGTCAGCAGAGGAGGGTGTTGCTGGGACCCGGCTGGCGGAGCAGCTTGATCTGCCTCTCTCCAGGCCTGTTCGCCACCACCTGACCACTCATGTTCGTCTCGAGTCCTTACAACAATCTTGCAGGTATTAAAAGTTCACAGATATTTCACTTTATCCACAGCAAACGTTCCTCACTTTGTTATTTTATGGGGGCAGCCAATGCTAACCCTGCAAAGAGGGCGACAGCTCTGCTCCAGGTGAGGGAGGAGAGCCTCTGGCTGGGGCAGAGAGGGCCGAACGCCCAAGGATTGTGGAAGATAAATGACCAGCCTGGTGGCCACATCATCTCCTTCCCAAAGAGAAGACGGCTATCTATTAAAATTAGGTTCAATTACAAAGGACAGAAAATCCAAAATAAGAGTAGCTCAAACTGAAAGAAATTTCTTCCTTTCTTATGTAAAAACTCCTGAGCTAGGCAGTCAGGTGTCAGAGACCCTGGCCCCGTCCATCTTGCTCCACCAATCTCAGCATTTGGCTTGCGCCACCTCATGGTTCAAGATGGCTGCCTGAGTGCCAGACATCATGTCTGTATTCCAGCCAACAGGGCAGAGAAAGGGATGAAGAAGGGAATGCCTCCTCCCCAGCAGAGGGGTTTCTAGAAGAATGCCGTTTTAGCTTGGTGGTTCTAAGGTCCAGAGAGGGCCCACCAGGTTCCCAGAAGGCCCACAGTCTTGGCCCTGCTGCTGCCTGGGATGGCACTGGAGAGGGTAGAGCTGCAGCTCTGCCTGTCTCCCCGGGCAAGGCCCTGCAGCCATCCAAGGACAAGACAGCTGTTGGCAGCTGCCAAGATGCTCTGTGTGCTGGGCCCTCCCTCTGCCCTCTAATTTCCATCTCCTGGAGGAGCATCCCCTCTCGCTCCCAGCCAGGGCCTTCTCTGAACACGGGGGGTTCGGGGATGGGGCTCCTACAGACAGGGTGGGGCTGCAGGATTAGGAGTCTCTAGGGAAACCAGAGCCACCCCGCCCACCACCACGGGTGGACTCCACTCCTCAAGCCCGGGGCTGGGAACCCCAGGATGACCTTAAACCAAATTGCTAAAAGCCCCTGGTAGAGACAGACGCACAGCAGGCGCTCAAGGGGAGTGAAGGAAGGACTCACTCCCCAACTCACTCCGTCAGGAGAGCCCCAATGTCATTCGGTCTAACCTCCGCCGAGTTGTCGCTCAGCTTCCACTTACACACTTCCAGGGATGGGGCACTCACTACTTTCAGAGGCAAAGTGGGTTTAGTTTGAGATCATCCCTATGATGAGTTGGGTTCCCCACCTCCTGGGTTGCCTCCTCAGCCCCAGTCTGCCTGCAAGTGGCACCCGGACCACACTGAGAACCCTTTTTATGGGATGGTACCCAAGTCTTTGCAGGCAAAGGATGGCACAGAACCCTACAGCTGGACCTTGGACGCCACACATCTCCTGGTCATCTTCTCGTGTCACAGACGAGGTTCCGGCCAGAGAGGGGCTGTGATTTGCCCAAGGCCACACAGCCGGCCAAGAGCTGAGCCACGATCAGACCCCAGAGCCAACTTTCAGCCGTGTTCCTTCTAAACCCCACGGCACCTCGCGGACCTCCTTCAGCCTCCCCACAGCGGGACCCCCTCCCACAAGCAGCCCCACCCCACGACGCCGAGGATCTGCTTCCCTCCAGGGAACCTCAGGCTGCAGAACCATCTCTGGTCACTGCCAGTGACAGGCACAGGGCTGGGACCGGAGGGCCGGGCGTCAGGAGCCGCTGCAGGACCAGGACCTCAGAGCCGGTGGCGTGACTGTCACCCGCCCCAGACAGACGCCTCCCTCGGAGCAGCCGGCCCGCGTGCGCGCGCACGCACGTGTGAGCCTGCGTGTGTGCACGGGTGTGCGCCCGCCCGAGCCTCCCGAGCAAGAGGAACGCGTGGCAAGCTGTCGGCAGATGCTGCCAACGCGCAAAAGGGTAACTGTCGCGCGCGACGCCAACAGACAGACCTCCGGGGATTCATTTGGTTGTTTTGTGATTATTTTTTTACAACTTTAAATACGGAATATAAATAAATTTTACATTTAAAAAATAAAAGGAAAGCCCCCAAAAATATAATCACCGACTTTTCAAACTGAAGGAAGCAGATTTGGGAGGGGGGAGGGGCGAGTGCAGCGGGAGGGGGGAAGGGAGGCGGAGCTCAGACCCCACCCCTGGGGCCCCGGATCTTCTCCCTTTGCTCCCCCACTCCCAGCCCAGGAGCTGGTTTCCGGGGAGGAGCCGCCAGAGGCGGAGCTCAAAGGATCTAAGATGGGGGAGCGGGCGGGGGCGCAGGAGCCGCCCCATCCCTTGGAGACGTCCTCTTGGGCTTTTCAAACCTGCCTGGAAGGAGGACTGTTTGAGCTGAGGACTCGGGGAGATGGAGGCCGGATGCACAACAGCGTGCCTCCCCGCCAACACGGGCTCACTCCCTTCCGACCACTCCAAGCCCTGGGCTGGGTCGGGGCACAGGAGTCCACACAGAGTCTTTTTGTGTCAATCAGGGAAAGGATTCCTTTCCTCGAGACATCTGACCTCCATCTGCCGGAAAACTGTCATAATAAATATACACATTGGCCGTGTTTATGGTGTGAACCGTGATCCCTGCATGCAGTGCCCTTGTGCAGTGCACACCCTGCACAACCTTACATGGCAGTCTTGGCTGGGCTGAGATATGATGGGCAGGCCCCCTGCTGCCCTGGCCCCTCATCTTCTGCCTTATGGAGCAGTGACTGGGGTTATGTGGGGCCTCAATGAGGGGTCCAAGAGCCCCTTGGTGGAGCAGACTGAGGGCCAAGAGGAAGATGCAGGGTAGAGGTAGAGAGATGAAACAGAGGAGGAAGTGAAGGGGAGTGGAAGGAGGCGGTGGATGCCCAGGTCACCATCTACATCCACTTCCAGAGCAAACTTCAACTCTTACCCATCTGAGAGGGTGCACGGCCGCCTGGCGCTCTGGCCACGGCCGCCCGGAGGAGTCCACATCTTCAAAGATGTCATACGTATGAAAGGAAAGGGAGCCCCTGCGGCAGAGGGGACCCGGCAGAGGGGATGGGCGTGGGCACTGCGGGAGGCTTCCCCAGTCTGTGCTCCGCCACGTGGTCCCAACCACAGGAGGACGAGGAACCCGGCCTGCCTGGGGGTGTTGCCTTCAGAGCCGGCTGGGGGACCGGGCAGCGGAGGCCGCGCCCAGAGATCCTCAGGGCCACGCGCAGGGCTTCGGGCTGGCCCACCGCGCGGGAAGAGAGCCCCTGTCCCCAGACGGTGGCCACGCCAGTCTCTCTTGCACCCTCTTCCGAGGTCCTCGGGGCAGGAGAGGAAGCCAGCGGCAGAGTCCAGGTCCTTCGTTTCCTTCTCGAGCTTCGGGGCCAGACGCTGGAGGCGGCCGAGGGGAGCCCCGCTGGCGGATGGGTGGACGGACGCGGAGGGGTGGGGGAAGCACCATTGGCCGTCCGAATCAGGCATCGAGACAGACGGACGAGGGGACAATATTATGACTCCAAGGACCCCATGGGGGCGATACCACAAATACCATATTAAATAACCCTGTGGGCCAAGCAGAGGACATGGGGAGTCAGAGACAGACTGGGGGGCGTCCCATGCTCACAAGCCCCCCTGGCCGGGGACGGGGAGCCGGGGTCCACCAGCGCCCCTGATTTCCAGCCGGCTCGCTCAGGGCTGGGGGAGCTGAGGGTAGACCTCCCGTTCTCTCGGGGCTGCCACACAGCTGGGCTGGGGTCTCCCAAGCCCCCCGTCACCTGCCCCATGGAAAACAGCGGATAACTGGGGGTTGGGGGGAGCCAGGGTGTGGCTTAGAGGCTGGGTTTTGTATGGAAAAATGCCTCTCCCCCAGCATTTTCCCATACAAGGAAACCCAGGGCGCCGAACCTCAGTCTCCGGCCTGGCCCTCACCTGCCCACTCTCTGCAGATGCCCCTAGGCTCCGAGGGTCTCCTTCAGTGCCTTCTTGTCATGTGTGTGCTTGAACTTCCGGTGCTTCCCCTTGGGGGGCCGGCGGACGCGCACCGTCCGAATGGTCACCCGAGTTTGAGGCGTCTTGGCTGCTGGAGGGAAAAGAAAGGTCTTGTCAGCAGGTGGACGACCACTGTGGAGGGTCTGCCGGCCTCGACCAGGGCCTGCGACAGACCACCCAGATCCTCAGGGCTGAGAGCAGGGGCGGGAGGGAGTCTGCCACCAGACCTCGTGGGTTCAGATCCCAGCTTCTCCACTCACCAGCTGTATGTCGCCCAGGGACAATGCCTGAACCACTCTGTGCCTCAGTTTCCCCATCTGGGAAATGGGAGAAATAAGACCGCCAGTCTCATAGGACTGGGGGAAGGAATAAACAATACGATGCGCAAACACAGAGGGGGGTAGGTTAACAATGGCGTCGAGCTCTTTGTCGGCCCCCCACTGACGGGCCCCTCGACCCTGGCCTGGACTCCCATCTGGAAGCCAATCAAAGCAGGCAGAGGGCCGGCTGCTTCCAGGGTGCGCCTTCAGAAGGCCTGGCAGCTCCCACCTTTGTGCTTTGGGGAGCCCTGTGCCCCCCCCATAAGAAGTCTGGCCACCCTGCTGAGGAGGCCACGTCGGGAGGAGAGGCCTGCACCTCACAGGGAGGGACAGAGGCCCAGCCGTCCCAGCGCCCATCCCGCGACCGGCTACACCCACAAGGGACGCCAGGGGAACCGCCCGGCTGAGCCCAGCCAGCCAGAGGCCCGGGAGACAGAACGAGCGGCCACTGTCCTCGTTAGGCACTAAGTTCCCAGCAGGAGGCCATCAGCCCGCTCTCATTCACTTGTTTCTTATTTCCTCGGCTTGACCCTCGAGTCAGGTCCCCCCCAACCTCTCAGCCCCTTCCAGCCATGTGACAGGGGCCCCTGGGCTTCGGGCCGGAACCACCCCCAGGAGCTGGGACTTCCCGTGGAGGTGCCTGTCTGCCTGCCCTCGCTGTGCAGCAGCGGGCCAGAGCTCGGGCTGCGGCCAGGCCGCCGGGTTCAACGCTGGGCTGTCCCAGGTGTTGGCTGTGTGCTTGGGGGCCAGTCACGTCAACTCTCTGTGCCTCGGTTTCCACATCTTTAAAGCTGAGATGACTGCAGCCCTGGCCTCCCAGGGTTAAGAGATAATACATGGAAACAGCCTACCACACTTGTTTATCCTCACAGCAGGCATAAGGGTCTACATTTAACAGAGGAGGAAACTGAGGCAGACACAAGGATCTGAACCCAGAGATCTGTGTCTGGAGTCCATGCTTTCAGCCACTGGGCTGTGGATCACAGCGCCTGCGAGACCTGTCAGGGTCAGCGCTGATGTCTCTTCTCCTTGGGCCCCTAGGGAGACACCTGGCAGTGACAGCTTCTCTGCCACGCTCAGGGCCTGCCTCTTCCTGGGAGCCCTCCAAGATCTCCGCAGCCCATAGCTGTTTGGGCCAACACTCGACCTCCCACCTCATAGACACCAGCTGCCACGAGGCGGTTACCCCATCTCTGCAAAGGGACGGATTTAGGGACTCAGTTGGGTCCCAGCTCCCCTTCAGGGGAGGACACCCAGGACGGCCACTGAAGGACCCAGGGAGGTTCTGCTCCAGAGACGAGGCCATGAGCAGGACGCTGGGCTGGGCAAAGCCCGACTGGGCTCAAGGTCGTCACGCAGCTCCCGAGCAACCGAGCAGAGATTTGAGCCCAGGAGGTCTGACACTGACCATCACATCACAGGGGCCACACCCCCAAACCTTAGCCCAGGGACGGCTGCCGGGGCGCCCTCCCGCCCCGCCCCGGGCCGGCCGCGACGCTCACACTAAAGTGACGGCTCACACTAAAGTGACAAGAGTTTACAACTCTTCACATCAATCAGGTGACCGTGCAGCACGGGAAACCAGCTCGGAAAACGACAGGAAATAAATGCACGCAAAAGAGCCCCACTCTAAAGATAAAAAGGAATGTCCTTTTTCCTGAATAGAAAAATAGTTCTCCACGTTCACTCGGTCAATAATTCACACCACGTCTGTTGAAGCTGTGACGTGAGCAGCGCCCCAGGGCACCCGTGTCCCCGCTGAGCTCTGAGAGCAGGAGGATGAGGCTCCGGGCGGCCCCGCCTTTGGGGGCTTGTTAACAAGAAGGGCTGGTCAGACCACCTGTCCCCCGAGTAAAGAGAGTTACTGAAAATCAAAACCATCACTTGTGTGATTGTTTTGCTCATCTAATCGAATTAACTCCATGATTCTCCTTTGATCCTTACTGCAAACAATCGAGGGAGGAAAGGGAGCAGGACACTGTCTAAAGAAACCAGAATTAGACGTTACAAAACCTGGCTTCTGGGCTAGGCTTTGCCGCCGTGCAACCGCCAGTAAGTCCCTTAACCTCTCTGTGCTCCCATTAATAACACTGAAGGATTCACTTGCAAGGTCATCTCTCTGGTCTATTCCAGCTCTAAAATTTTAAAATCCCACCCCCCCCCCCAAAAAAAAGATGAGGGAGGTAAGAGCCAGTGACAGCCGTCAGGGGAGGGAAAAGCTAAGAAGAGAACTTCAGGACACCTGGGTTCCAGCTATAGCCCTGCCTGGGATTGGCTGTGTGACCCTTGGCTAAGACCTCAGCCTCTCTGGGCCTCAGGGCACCTCCTCTGTAAAATGTGGAGGAGGCAACTGGACCAGACCATTCTTTCGGTCCCTTTCAACTCTTTAAGTCAAACTAAGCCCCTGAAATTGTGAATTCACGAAATCCAGGGAGAGGAACAGAACCCCGGTTCCACTTATCCATCTGATATCCTGTCTGTCACATCCCTGCTGTGTGGCTGCCCAGCCTTTAGTTGCACACCTCCAGCAACAGGGATCTCACTACCTCCCGCACAGACAATTCCATCTTGAACCCCTGACTGATCACCAGCTTCTGCATATGTGGAGTTAGAATCTCTCTCTGATGACTCTCCCCACGGGTCCTAATTCCCCCACCAAGGCTGCAAGCAATTGGTTTGATTTCTCATCCCCAGGACAAGCTGTCAAATATCTGAAGACCATGTATGTGGGGTCTTCTCTTATCCAGGCCCCAGTTCCTCCCACCATCTCATGCACTCACTCAACAAAGTAGGGGCTGTGGAGCAAGACTGGGATGGAGGCTGCTCTGGACGGGGTGGTCGGGGTGGACCTCTCAGAGGAGGGGGCTTCTAAGCTGAGACCCAAATGAAGAGAAGGAGCTAGGCTTGTGAAGAGCTGGGAAGTGAATGTCAGCCAGAGTGGCATGTGCCAAGGCCCTGAGGCAGACATTTATTTGGGCATTCAAGGCCAACCTGGCTGGGGCGGCATAAGTGACGGGGATTGGTTGGCAGTAAGGCCAGAGGGCCAACCGCGGGCTGCATCCTCACAGGGCCTTGCAGGCAGGGGAGGAATCTGGATTGTTCTCAGAGAGATGGGAAGCTTCAGATGAACTTAGCCAGGGGCATGCCTGAGTCACTTTCCCCTGCCTGCTCATAAAAGCTGCCACATGAGAAGGGGGCTGCCCGACTGAGCAATTCAGAGGCAGCCCCTGACCCGTGGTTACCTCGCTGCTCCTGGGAACTCCCGGGGTTTCGGGTCACGGGTCGTGCGGCCCCCACCGTCTCACACTTGCAGGCCAGGTGGTCTTCCAGAGTCACTGTGGCCTTCTTGAATGTCGGCTTCTTCCGCACGATCTCGATCTTTCTCACCTGGAGGACAGACCCACCAGCATCCCTCTGTGAGGCCACAGGGGCAGCCGGGGAGCCCGCCCCTGCTCTTCCACCCCGGTGTCCCCGGCCTTGATCTTTCCTCGAAAGCCCGGACAGCCACACAGCAGACAATTTGGCCCAAACAATAGCAGGACCTTGCCCTCTGCCCTTCTTGTAGCTTTTCCATCAAAACAAGCCCTCCTGACCCAGCCTCCGGCTTTGCCGCAGCCCCCCTCAGTGCCCCCAGAGAGGGAGAAAGGCATTTCCGGGTTGAGCATGGAGCCTGTACTGTCCTCATTCCAGGAGCGCCAGCCAAGGTCAGGGGCTGGGCAGAGGCGGAGAGGGTTGTCTGGAAGGAAGTGGGGGGAGGCGGTATCCAGGAGGGAGGCGGGAAGGGGAGCCAGCTGTCAGGTATCCATCCACAGCGCTGGCCGCCTTGGGCACAGGCAATACCATGGCAGTGGGTGGTAGTAGGAGTGACATTTGTAATCTCGGGCCCGGGGCCCAGGCCCTGGGGGGAAGGTGGGCACGAGGAAAGCCACGGCCGGCTGCAGGGCAGGGGCGCATGGCGAAGGCGCAGAGCATCTGGCAAAAGCGGGTGCCAAGCCTGTGCGTGCCCACCGCCCCACAGCGCGGGCCACCCTGAGCTGATGCTTGAGCCAGGCGGGCCCACCCAGGGGTGCAGAAACCTTCCCACATGATCAGAAGGCAGCTGAGGCTTCTCCGGCCCCAGCCTGCCCGGCGCGAGACAGGGGGCTCCCGGGACAGTCTCTACTCTGAAACATCCTGTGAGTCACAGTGTGTACCCGAAATTTCCAGAAAAGAGGCAGGATTCAGCATTCTGACTGTACCGGGGCTGCCCCAGCAAGGGCAGCGTCTGTCCCTAGAGGGTCTCTACCCTCTTTGTTAAAGGCACAGCTTGTCAAAAGAAATGCACAGGCGGCAAAGACACAGGGCCACCTAACCCAGCCATTCTCTGTGGAATGGAGAAAACAGGGGCGAGCTCTGGGGGCACCAAGCAGCTGCCCAGAACATCCTGAGGGTCCTGCGAAAGTCTGCAGACCTGTCTCTTCAGGGGCATTTTGGGATTTTATCCTTGTAAAGAAGGAAGCAGTGTCCTTTACAACGTCCCCCACCCAGCCCTGCCTGGGGGTCTGTCTGTGGCTTTGGTGACAGCGATTGGGGCAGCCTCCGAGGACTGAGGGTGGCCTCGGCGCACCTGTCCGGAGGGAGCTTCCCAGGGCGGGCCTCCCTGGACAGAGCCCAGGGCCAGCCAGGAAGCCTTCTGACCCGCGGAAGCCGCGGGGACCCGCCCCAGAGGCCGGCGGCGGCCGTGGGCCTGCGCACCTGCACGGGCCGCAGCTGCACCTGGGTGGGCCGGCACTGCACGTGGCGGTTGTTGCAGCAGCCGGAGCAGCGCTGGACCTCCACGCAGGGCGGCCACACCAGGAAGTTGGCGTTGGTGCGGTCGATGAGGCGCCGGGAGATCTCGAACACCTCGGTGCGAGTCTTGCACTCGGCGATCATGGCTGGCTCGGCAACGGCCAGGGAACCTGAGGGAGGGAGACCTCCGTCAGGAGGGGGCCTGCCCGGAGGCCCCACCGGCAGGAGAGCCCAGCGGGGCACCTCTGGGACTGCTCTCCCTCGATTCCCGCCTCCTCCAGCCCTGGGGTGGGGGTTTCGAGCCCTGGCTGTTATCAGCCGTGGAACTTGGGCAGGTGCTGGTGAGCTCGAAGCCTCAGTTTCCCCATGTGCAAAATGGGCATGCTGAGATCTACACCTCAGAACCAGCATGAGAATCACGCGAGACCATTTAGAATACATCCTGTCTGGTCACCGCTCTCCCATTGCTGTTTCACACTGTCCTCCAGTCTTGCATGACTGACTTAGCCGCCCAAATCCACAGAGTGAGGAGTGGCACTCAGGCCCCTCACCGTCACCTGGGTCCCCCAGCCACTGTCTACAGTGGGGACTGCAGGTGGGTAGAGAGCGGGAGGGGCTTGGATGGAGACTCACCCGCCCTTGGAAGGTTCCCAGAGACATAGTGATGGACATTCTCCTTTTGGTCTCAGCGACAGAGCAGGAGGCAGGGCCCAGGCCGCAGCCCTTAGCCACAGCAGAGACACGCAGCCCACCAGGGTGGCACTGGGTTCAAGTAACAATGGCTTTAGGGATCCCAGCCCTCCCACTTACTAGCTGTGTGACTTCAGCTACTTCTTTACCCTCTCTGGGCCCGTTTCTAACTCTATATAAAACTCTGTAAAATAATATCTACCTCCAAGGCTGAAGTAATCAATAAACGAGCTTAAAGGCACTGTAATTAGAAAACTGTGTTTTGGGGCGTGATGACTCCACTCCTCACTATGTGGGATCGAAGGATACAGGGTAACTTCCTTAGCTCAGCCCAGTCCTGAGTGTCGGGAGCCTCAGCTGGCTGTACGCCCGGGCTCGCCGTCCCCAGCTCCCACCCCAGAGGGGCCACTCTCCTCACCCCAGTCTCACCTAGGCTCCTTCTCCCGCGGGATAAGCTGTCCGGCTCGCCTCCAGCATGGGACCGCGTCAGATTCAGGTCCAGCTCGGCCCCGTCTTCATCTGCAAGAGAAGGCAGGGTCAGTACATTCTCATAACCGCTGGCTGGCCCGACCACGGGGCGGGGGGGGCTCCGATGGGGGCTCTGGGCAGGCAGGAGGATCACCTCTCGCCACCCCCCATGGTACCCCACTCCAGAAAACAGGCTCCCCTCCTGGCTCCCTGTAAACCCAAGGGTCCCAGCTCTGAGCAGCGGCCCTCCCGGCAAACCCCAGGGTGGCCACGGGGCTCAGCAGGTGGTGGGGCCCTGACTGCATCCCGGGGGGGCCTTCAGCCCCACTCTGGGCTCTTCGGCCACATTCTTGGACAGAACCCATGTCAATGGAGTTAAAAATAACCCATCCCCTTTGCTACTGTAAGCGAACCCTCCTCGGCCTCCAGGGCAGGGCGAGGACCAGAGCTCGAAGGCCAGTTTCCAGTGCCCCTCCGCCCAGCGTTCCCATAGGAAGTGCTGAATGGAGAAATTCCCAGAATCCCCAGGAGGGACCAGCATGCCCTGGACACAGCCCCTCCGGAGCCCCGGACAATGGCCCAGTTGGGCGGGAGAGGGGGAGGGCGGGAGAGGGATGGGGGTGGGGGCTGTGGGGAGGCAGGGCCTGCTGGGATGGGGGGGCCCTCGCCCCGCGTCCTCCTAGGCCTCCATCCCTCTCCGCTCCATCTCTCCTCGCCCTTCTCTTCCTGTCTCTCCCCCTACAACCTTTGCCCCGTGTCAGGCCCTAAGTTGTCCGTTTATTCCTGAGGTCACAAACCACAGCCCCTCTCTAGCCTGGGCTCCCCATCTCAGGTGGTCAGCACTCCTTGGAGGCATCCCCTTCTCTCTAGAGAGGGCGCCAGAAGCTGCGGTGGGAGGCGAGAGTTAGAGAGGAGGACAGAGCTGCTCGCTGAATCGTGGGCAGCCCCTTCTCTCCGGGATGGCTGAAGAGCAGGCACATCAGCTGAGGACGTGGAGGACAAGTTCCTGCCCGCTCCACGCAGCCCGTCGAGGCTCACGCTGTCTCCCCAGCCCACTGCCCACCCACCCCACCCCCACCCAGTGACGAAGCTCCTGCTCATCCGGGCCCGGCTCCCAGGGGTCCCGTTTGGAGGAGACCATCCTGAACTGGTGCCTTTCGGTCTGGCCTACTGCTCCCACATCAGCACGTCTGTCTGTCCCTCCCTCTCCCTTCCTTTCTCCCTGCCATCTCTGGAATGTCCCTGGTGAGGAGGAGATGGGGAAAAGATGTGCTTTGTGGAAAGGTTAAGTTGATTAGGAAAAAAATAGCCACATGGTTGCCTCGGAACAGGCCTGCTATTGAAAACCTCGTCTCCAAGATTCCGACCCCCACCCGGGGTGTGGAGGGGCTGTCCGAAGGTGGGGGCCAAGGGCCTTGGAAAGAAACAGCAGAAAGGCTAAATTTGGAAGTTGCCCCATTGTGTTGGCCAGGGCTGGTCAGTCGGGCATAGGGTGGGGGGTGTGGGAGATGTGGGGTGGGGGGCCTGGCGAACAATAGGTGGGCCCAGCTGGGGCCCCCTCCTGCCTGCCCCACCAGCTCCCGGCAGAGGCGGGCGTGAAAGGCCCCGGGAATGCTTTTGAGAGGCAGCCAGGGGCCCAATGGGAGAGAAACAAAGGCAGGAAATGCTGTCCCCCGTAGATAGCAGTCTGGGCAAGGATTACAAAGTGACAGAGACAAAACCCCAGAGGGAAGGGGAGCTGGGGTGCAGGGGGGGTGCTGACCAGGGCTCCGGGGAACAGGCCAGAGGTTAGAATAGAATGGAATTTGCTCTGAAGACAGCGTTTATAAATACATTCCTGACCCAGCCCGCCAGCCCCGCCACGTGTGTGTCACCAAGCACGTGCCCATTCTCTGAGCGAGCTCTCGGGATGGGCAGGGCTGCCCACTAGTCGAGGCCAGGTGTCCCTGGGAGACCTTGCAGACCGGGCCCTTGGCCAGACGGGCAGGGAGGTGGCTCCTGCAGCAGCACCCTCCCCGACTGGGTCTACACCTGGATATACACTCAGCAGGGCCCTGGGCGCCTCCCCCTGCCCCCCTCCTCCTGCACCCCACCCTCTGCACTGAGCCAGAGCCACATGTGGGTGCTTCTCCTGCCACACCCCAGGTCCCAGGTACCAACCCGTCCTCTTACTCAGCCCCGCCCTGGGCAGGTGTGGCCGCGCCCTCCTGGGCTGCTGTGGGCCTCTGTTCTCTGGATGTCGAGGAAGTGGGGATGCCCCTGACCCTGCCCCTGCGGCTCCCGAGGACTTAGTGGAGTGTCAGAGCAACGGACGAGGCTTCCATTTACCTACGGAGTCTCCGTGCAGCAGGCGCTGGAGGTCATCGAAGGAGCGGATCGAGTGGTCGCTCAGCATCTCGTAGAGCTCCTCAGGAATGGGGTCCCCCTGCCAGGCAGACACCGGGGGGCCACGTGAGCTCAGAGTGAGGGCTTTCCAGTTGAGGCCCTCTTGCCCCAACACACACACTCCCTCCTATGGAAAGTTCCCGAGGGCCCCTCGGCCATGGGCAAATGGACAGTCAGGCTGGGGGCAGGCAAGGGGCAGATCCCAGGCCTGACAACCAGGAGCACGAAGGCCTGGGGGCCAGAACCTGCCACAGCCTCTAAGACCCAGCTTGGATGCTGCACCCCCCACCCCAAAACGGAAACCCAGCATGCTTCGCGTTAGACTTGATCGTGTGCGTCCGTCTCCCCATCACACTACTGGCTCCGGGCGGCTCCCCCAGCCTCCTCCTCGCTGCTTCCCCTCCACCCCTCCCAGCTAACGCCAGCCAGCATTTGTCAGGGGAGAAATTATTATCCCCATTTTACACAGAGGCTCAAATAGGTGACATTCTTTGTCAGAGTCCCAAGCTGATGATCACAGAAGCCGCATCCAAACCCAGGCCTTTCTGACGGCAGAGCCCGTACCCCAGCCTCCTGGGCAAGCGAGGCGGCTAGCAAATGCTCACAGAGTCGGATGGTCTCAGGAGGCCACGTGTACTGGTGATGTCTACTTAGTCTCTCGCTCAAAAGAGGAGAGAAGGGAACCCTCAGATGTGACTGGGAGACCCGAAAGTTTACCCACGCCCCATGCCCAACCAAACCCTATTTTTAGAGGCCCCCTGGCCTCTTACCAAAACACTTGAAACTGAATAAGCACTTTAACAGGCCCCACTCAGAGCCCGGCTTCCTCCAGGGAAACCACAGGTCCCACAATGACACGACATGAGCCCGATAGGAACGTCACAGTCACGTCCCCCACGGTCCAGGGAGACCCGAGCGGCTGACGCCAGAGGCCCTGAGAAAGAGGTGAGGGCAGACGACAGACAGGCGAAGAAGTACCATCCACCCACCCAGCACCTCAGGGCAGGGAAAGGCACGAGATGCTGCTGTGTGTCCGGACTCACACCCATGGAAACACACACTGGCACACACGCACAGCGTTGGCACGGTCCTGTGGAAGGAGCCCCGGAGAGGGCGTCAGCAGACCTGGCTCACTACTGTTGAATCTTGGGTTGAACCACTCCGTGCCTCGGTTTCCCTGGATTAAGAAGGGAGGGGCTCCTGCTCCCACTGGTTCACTGCTCCAAGAACTGGAGTCCTCGGCTGAGCCCAGGCACCCTGCCCGCCGGGGAGGGAGGCATCTCGCTGCGTGGCCGCCCCAGGGGCTCTCCCCAGAAGCTCCATCGGGAGCCTGGGGGTTGATCAGTTTCTAGCCTCCCCCAAAGCCCCACTTCCTCAATGCTCATCATGGAGTGGGAACGCCTCCTCCAGGGCACCACCATGTCCAGCTCCGGGCACCCAAGTAGGCCCTGGAGCCAGAAGACCACGGGTGAAGGGGAGACATGATCGCTTTTAAAACGAATTCCTTGAAACCCCTGAACCCCGCTGCTTCGTTTGAATGTGGAGTTTACAATCCTGCCCGGTGTCTGATGGGAGGTTCAGGCAGGGGAGGGTGGGGGCCGAGCAGTCAGCCTGGTGGGAGTCAGGGTCTTTCCTTCAGGGTCCAGGCTGCACAGCCAGGAGTGGGGGGCTGTGTGTGCAAGACGGGGGAGGGCCGTTGGCCTCGCTGCCCCTCCCTTTCTTCCCCCCACCAAGGAGACCATGCCTTCGGTGGTCTCCCAACATGGACCCCGGACCCAGCCCACAGAACAGAAGGCAGGTGGCAGGTGTCCAGGTAAGACCAGGGCCGGCCGCTCCCCTGGGGGTTTTGTCAACCCCAGAACCGGTCCTAAGAGCTGGAGTCCATCCTCGTACCGCTACTAACCGCCCTGTGACCTCAGACTGGGCACTGCCCCTCTCTGGTCCTGGCATTACCTGTGAATCAAGGGGCTTGAAGAACATTTGACTCGATTCTAAGTCTGCCTGGGGGTGGCAGGAGAGGCAGCAGAGGAGAGCCAGGGTGGGGGCGTCCAGCCAGGTCTCCCAGGCTATTTGTGGACTAATGATTCAATGAACCCGCCCCCCCAGAGAGGGGCCCGAAGGCCCAGTACCAAATGGCACACAGCACTGGTGCCAGGACTTCCTTGCCCACTGGAGAGCTGGCTGCAGCTGCCAGCCACGGCAGAACAGGCAGACCCCCAGTCAGGCCTGGCGGATGCCCGGGCCGGCCAATGACTCAAGGGAGATGGCGTCTTAGGGAAACAAACTCAACACTCCAAGGCAGAGTGGGGAGGAGCCCAGGAGAGAGACTGGGAAGGTGGGAGACGCACAGAGTAGGTGCTCAGTGAATACTGACAAAATGCATGAAGGAGTCTACCCTTCTCCAGAGGGGGTTCTCTCCAGGATGGTTCGCCCACCTCCTCCACCAGGAGGGCCACCTGGGATATCCTCCCAACCCCCCTCTTAAGAGCCCACTTTATTCTAAGCAGAGAAGCCATCCTGTGAATGCTTCTGGTAACTTGGCCACTGGACGCCCAGAAGTCACTCAGAGCGCCTGGATTTGGTAAGAATCCCACAGCCCACTTTTGCAAAGTGCTGACTACGAGCCAGGCAGAGCCAAAGGCTGGACTAACTACCAGTCCTAGAGGCTGGCACTATTTTTACCCCCATCTTCCAGAGGCGGAAACTGAGGCTCAGGAAAATTAAGTAAATGGCCACAGGTCTACTCGACTAGTAAGTAGCCAAGCCAGGTCCCTCCCTCTCCCAGCCCACAGTGGAGCTTCCGGCCTCCCCTCTCCTCGGTCATCTTCAGTTCCTGTCGGCTCTTGACCCCTGTGGCATGTCAGAGAGCAGTGGTTCTCAACCAGGGGTCCCCAGGGGACAGGGGCCACGTCTGGAGGCACTTTCGGTGGTCACAACTAGAGAAGCGCTACTGGCATCTAGCAGGTGGAGGGTGGCAATGATGCGCAGCACCCTCCTATACACAGGATGGCCATCCACAGTCAAGAGTTATCTGGCCCCAAATGTCAACGGGGCAGAGGATGAGAAACTGTGGCACGTGCAGGAGCAAGGGCTTCAGCTGCCAAGGAAACCTGAATTCTTGGAGTAAGTCTTTGAACAATCTAAAATCTCAGCTTCTTTATCTTTTAAACCGTGCTAATAATACCTCACCTGGGGTCATGGGGAGGGGTAACCACCCAGCAGAGCAGCCAGCAAATAACGGGTACTTAACTGAGCTGTCGCCATGATCACCACTCACTCCTTCAGTGTGGTTCCTGTGAGGTAGCACGCAGGCCCAGGCCAGCAGTGCAGGACATTTTTGAGGATGACAATGGGTGAGTGGAGAGCTGCCTGCCCAGGGACGAGTGTCTGGCTTTGCATTATGCCCTGTGCGGGGCCACAGGAAACGGCACCCTAGCGCATTGCCCGGGGCCGCGTGGGCTGGCGGGTCCCTTCCTGGCCGGGGGTGGGTGAGGGATGGGGATTCAGCCTGTGGTCAGCTCCAGGAGACAGTGCCCTGAGGGAGATTCATGGGCACCTGCTTGGGGTCAGAGGCGCTTCTTGGTGTAGGAGGGTGAGCAGCCCACAGCCCAGTTTTCCTGGTTCTAGAAGCCTCTTTAGGTGGGCACCTCCCCTCGGAGAATCCCGGGAGAGTCTCCCACCTCCTCCACGAGGAACTGCCGGGGAAAGGAGGCCTGGCACCCTGAGGAAGCTGCCCCGGATCTCAGGCCTGGGTTCCTGGCAGGGCGAGGGTGTGGCAAGAAGGCAGCTGGGGCGCAGCCAGCCCAGAGAGCCAAGGCAAACAGCCTCCTCCCCCAGCCCGCCCCCAACGCCAGCTGCGGGAGGGAGGGCGGGCACGAGCCAGCGTGAGGCCAGGTGAATTACCTGCTCCCAACCAGGCTGGCAGATCAAAGGGGCTGGGACCCCACCCTCCGCCTGGGCCCCGTGCACACACACATGCACACTTCCCCAGCCCGCCTGCCATTCCGCTCAGGGAGATGACACAGGCTCGGCCCCAGCAACCAGGGGCGTTGTCAGTGGCTGGCAGAGGGAGAGGCCACAAGGCCTCAGAGCACCCGCCTGCCTGACAGTCTCAGGCCTGACTTACATTCAGTGCCAAAGCCAAGCCCTTTGAAGGAGCCTTCTCTGGGCAGACCACAGAAGCCTTTTAGAACCAGACTTTCCCACCTAGATTGCCCTTTCTTATTGCTCCTGGGACCCGCCCCTCCTCCACTCTTCCTTCATATTAGCCCTGTCCCCCTCACTGGGCTCCCCACCGCAGCCACTACAATCCTGGCAGCCCCTTGCAATCACTGGCCCCACCCCACCCCCCAACCCAACTCTCAGCATGGGGTGGGGCCCAGGAATCTGCATTTTCAAGAGGCCAAGTCATTCTGCTTCTCTTGGGGAACTCTGTGCGAACCCAACCTGCTCATTTTTTTAGGTGGCAGAAACAGGCCCAGCTCAAGATACGCAGAAGCTTTGCAATTGGAGTTTCCTTCTGTTCCTTCCCCTCCCTCCTGTCCCATCTTGGCAGCCCAAGTCCCAAGTCATGGAAGTGAAGACACGCTTGTCTCTCAAGGTTGGGGGGCCTCGGAGGCAGGTGCCTGTGGGCGGGCAGTGTGGCCATGCTGGGCTACCCTTGGAGTGAGGATTAAATGAGGCCGTGTTTATGAAGGTCTTAGGAAGCGCCAGATACGTGTCTGGTCATCCCCCGCCCAGGGCTCACTACCCTTTCCACAAATTTTTACAGACACCACGTGCCAGGCACCGTTCTAAGCACGGGAGACAGTGGGGACCAACACAAAAGCTCCCCAGCAGAGACCACACTCCAGCGAGGAAAAGCAGATAATAAACAACTAAATAAACCAGAAAATGAAAGCAGCTGTCCTAGAAGGGACATTTCAATGGGGGGTGAGGGAAGACTTTCAGAGGGACTTACGAGGCCCGAGGCAAACGTCCCTTTACCACTCCTGCTCAATCAATTTCTCTCTCTCACACACACACACACGCTGTTCCCAGGTCTTGCACCCGAGCCTTTAAGTTCTGATTGATCCTAACCTTGCACACGCTTCCAGGGCTGGGAGAGTCCGGCAGGTGGGTTTCCCACCCCTAAGGCCATCAGCAAACCATAAGGAATCTGGGTGCTGAAGGGCTGCAAGGCCCCGTCCCTCCTTCCTGGCAGAAGGGTGCTGAGGCCAGAGGCATCACATGACAGCAAGAGTCACCCTCCCGGAAACCAGCTCAGCTGACGGAGATGGGATCTCACAGGCCTCGGGCGACCCTCAGCCCTCCATCTCAGCTGCTGAGGCCGCCACCTGAGGCTCAGTCCAAGCTCGCCCGGGACATGGTCAGCCCCAAGGCCACCTCCACCAGCAAGCTCTCCCACAGTCTCTGCTCCTGGACTGGCCCCCGAGGCCATAGGTCTTCCCTTTAGGTCTCCTTCCTTGAGGCATGCTCAGGCTTAGCACGAAAGTGCTTCATAAACTGCAAAGTGCCACACAACCCCGGGTTCCTGAGGGCCCTGTGTTCAAGGATGCTGTGATTAACTGAGGAGAAAGGCACCAGCTTCTGTGCCCCAGCCTCCCCTCCAAACGCACACACCCATGCAGTTGTGGAAAAGGAGGAGGAGGTGCTGGCTGAAGCTGGAAATGGTTAACAGCAGGCCTGGGAAAGCCTTATCCAGCTGTCCCCCAGCCTCTCCAGAGCACGCTGGCATCAGCAAAGAGGCCAGAACAGTCCGGGTGGGAGCCCGCTCGCTCGGCGGCTCAGGGTCCTCCAGTCTTGGAGGTTCAAAGAAGGGCCCGTTGGAAGATAGAAATGTTCTGGACATGACAGCGCCCCCCAGGCACATCAACACCATTTTCGGCCACATGGGGGTGGCTGGAAAAAAAGCAATCACAGAGGCTAATGCTGGAGGTGCGTGGAGCTGACCAGACCAGGCAAAGAAAAGCGGGACCGTGACCTGATGGGAGGGCCGGGGTTCCCCTTCCCTCATAGGACCCAGGAAGGAAATGGGGTCGCTACAGAGGTGGTGAGGTTCCAGGGCCCACGGTGAGCCCACCTGTTGCGCGGGGGCGAGCACCTGGCGCGCTGCGTGTAGAGGAGCCGTGCATGCCTGTGTGCGTGCGTGGGTGTGCGCGCACGTGTGCTCAGGCCGCGTATGCGGAGGCCATGCGTGCATGTGTGTGCGGTGCGCGCGCGTGTGCCCCGCGTGTGCACGGGCGTGGCGGCGGCGAGCGCGCGACCCGGCCGCGGTAGTGCGTGCCCGTCGCTCTGCGCGCCCGCCCGCCCGCCGGAGCGCAGCATCGCCTCCGGCCAACAGTGTGCATGCGTGGGGTGAGTGAGCGAGTCGGGGGGCCGGGCGGGGTGGGCTGCGGAGAGCAGCGGCGGGGGCGCCGCCGTTCCCAGGACGCCCTGGCACCGGGCCCAGCCCCCAGGCTCCGCGGCGAGGCGAGGCGGCAGCTGGGGCCGGCCGGCGCCCCCCTCCCCAACAGCTGGCCGCGGCCCGGGGGGCTGCAGGAGAGGAGAGGAGGGGGCGTCGGGAGGGGCCTGCAGGCTGCCAGGCCGAGCCGTGCGTCCTCCCTACCGGGTGTGGGACGCCGGGACGCCGGGGGTGGCCGCGGAAGGGCGGGGCCCCCGGGCGGGCGGCCGGCGGCCCTCGAGGAGCCCCGAGAACAAAAGGAGACGGCGACGGCTCCTTCGTGGTCAAAACAACCTGCGCTGGCGGCGGCCCAAGGCCCGGCCGCGGCCTCGGAGCCCTTCAGCTTAACCCCTTCGCCGCCGTCGCCGCCGCCTCCCTGCACCTCGCTGGAGGCCGAGAGCGGCCGGCCCTCCCTGGGAGCGGGCGAGGTGCGGGATCCTGGCCGCGGCCGAGTGGCGGCGGGACGGCACCCAGGCACGCCGCGCTCCCCGCTGCCCTCTCCTCCCTCCACCTCGCGCCTCCTCCCTGCCCCGCCCCCTTTCCCACCTGGATTCCGGGTAGACTTGCCAACTCACTGCTACGTGAGGCTGGGAGGGGTGGGGGCGCTGATCCGACCTGATCGCTCCCGCAGACGTTTTTACACCCCACCACCTTGCAGCTAGGCTTTTACAGGCGGCGCGCTCCGCACCCTGCAAGCGGGGGAGAGACGCGCTTCCTCTCGCAGGGCGCGGGCGCAGGTCTGGCGGGGCCTCCCGCACACACCGCCCCGGGGGCTGGATTTCCTAAGAACCCCCACTCCTCTCCTAATCCCGAACGCCCGAAACCTCTCTCTCGCCGCCCCCGCCCCCCGCGCGCCCAAGACACATGCTGCTCCTGGACTGCGCCTGGCGCTGGGCATGCCCTGCACGGGCCAGAGGGCGACCACCCCTACCGGGAGCAGGAGCCAAGGTGGGACGCAAACCTCCGCCGGGGGTTAGCGTGGCTGACCCCGGTGCGCGAGCTCGCGCCTCCCGTGCAAGCCGGCTCCTGCACAGAATCTAAGCTGGAACCCAAGTGGGCTCTGGGGGACGCGCAGCCTTCTGCACCCTCGGCACCACCCCACCCCCTCTCCCTTCGGCCGGGAGGGGTTTATTCTCGGGTTCCTGAGGGGTGGGGGACAGGACCATACACACCCTCCGCCGACGCTTAAGGGCTCAGAGATCTAGGATCGCCCATGGGAAAGAAAGCCACAGCTGCCCCCTCCCCGTAGAGCCTGGCACCTCCCGGACCTCACGTCCCAACCCTCGGAGGTCACCTAGTGCCCGGCGCCAGGCCCAAGGGCTGCAAGGGTCCAAAGTTCACTGCAGGGAGAGGAGGGGGCAGTCAGAGGGTGGGGATAGGGGTAACGAATGAAGCGAATCAGCCCCAGTCGCCGTCGCAACTCACCTCGGCGCTGACCAGACGCAGGTAGCAGCAGAGAGACAGGAAGAGCGCCCAGCAACGATTCATGCCGACTCCGGGCCCGGCCCCGCGGGGCCCCGGACGCGTGGACCGAGCGCGCCGCCCCCGCGGCCAGGGCGGGGGGCGGGGGCTGGGGAGGGAGGTGGGCTAGGCTCGGGTCTGCGGCGATCAGGCGCTCTGGCCGCTGCAGCCGCCGCCGCGGCTCACCCGCATGGCCCCCGGGCGCCGCCGCCCCCGGCCCCGGCTCCGTCGTTGGGGGGCTAGGGAGGGCCTGGGCGCGGGACGAGGGTCTGAGGCCGCTACCTGGGCGGATCCCGAGCCCGAGCGAGCATCCACGGCCGGGGGGCTGCGTCGCGAACCAGCCGAGGCGTCTAGCCGTGTGGGGGCGCCCAGGGGACTCCAACCTCCAAGAGGAAAAAGAACACGGCAGTCGATGGTTCGTCTTCACTCGCCGGCTAAAGGCGTTTTCCTCTGCCTGCCGGCTTAGCTTTTTTGCAACATTTTCTGGAAAGGCCCCCGAAGTCGGAAAGCCCAGAGCTGGGCACCTCAAAGCCAAAGTCTCCCCCAAAAAACTTTTTTCCAAGTTGGCTTTGCAGCGGCGGCCCGTGTACCCGGGCAGAGAGAGGTGCAAACTCCCGCCCGGGCCGAGGGGGGGGGCCGGAGCGTGTGCGCCCTGGCGCGGGGCCCGGGCGGCGGGCACGGCTGCTCCGCGCGCGCGGCGTGCCCGCTGCGCGCTGGGCCGGGCGCGGCAGACAGGTGGACGCGGCGCGAGTCCGTCGGTCTGTCTGCTCGCCGGCTCGCCGCTCTGGGCGTCCTCTGCGGGCTGCGGGCTGCGAGCTGCGGCTGCTCCGGCTTTCTCTTTGCAACGAGGCTGGAGGGTGGGCTTTTTTTTCCTTTTTGCGCGTGTGTGTATGTGTGTGTGCGCGAAATATCTCAATCTCGGGAATGAAAGATGGGCGCTGGCGGCCGGACGGGAGCCCTCAGGGAGGCAGCGGGGGAGGCTGCGGGCGCAGAGGCAGGCGGGCTGCTCCCGGCGGCAGGAGAAGTTGCACGCTTTCAGCTGTTCCGGCCTTTATAAAGGAGAAGGGAGAGTGCGGGAGGTGGGTGGAGACTGCCTTTCCTCTTCTGGCCGAGAGTCAGCCCCGGGAGGGGGGGCGGGAGCTCAGGGAGGTTCCTGAGGCAAGGATGGGGCGCTTAGGGTTCTCCCAGAGTCTGGTGGCCCCTCTGTCCAGCAATGTGGCCCTTGGGAAGAGAGAACTAGGGGCTAGGAACAGCCGCGCCCCTCAGCAGGGTGGCCTGGCCTGCTTTCTAGCCGCTTGGCTGGGGGTCTGGGTCCAGGGCCACGCCCGGAGTCCATGCTGGTCCTCCAGAAGCAGATGTTCGCACCCTGGGGTGGGCGTGGTGGTGAAGGACTCAGGCTCTGCAGCTGGATTCAGATCCTGCCCTGGCACTGAGGAGCTGGGTCACCTTGGGCAAGTCACTTCCTTTCTGTGCTCCTCCATCTAGCCTCAACTCAGGATAGGGTTCTTGTGAGCACTTAATGCCAGAAAGGGCAGAAAGCAGCCAGCCGCAAGGTGATGGCACAGACCGTCAGCCAGGACAGATCGGCTGAAAGCCGGGCCCTGTCTCCTCCTGCGCGCCGGTTGCCTGGCACACCACAGGCCCTGCCGGCGCTGGCGGAACTGAATTCGTTGAACTGCAAAGTCACACAACCGCCACCACCCAGCAGCATCCTCGCAGGGTGCCGTCATGATCCTCCCATCCCCTGATGTTTACTACCTCCCTCAGCCCCCGGCTCGAGGCCCAGGGCCCCCCACCCTCGCCAGCAGTCACACAGTTAACGCCTTCCACCCCCAGCTCTGCGAGCTGCTGTGTCCCTGCCTTCAGCTGTCACACGGTCCCAGTCACAGTCACACGCACGCCTGCTGAGCCCAGCACCCACCACGGGACCCGCAGACTCACGGCCTTACCTGGCTCCTGGCTTTAGGACACCTTTATCTGGTCCCCTTGTACTGTCTCTGTCATCTGCCGTTTGTACCCAAACATCCCTTTGGGGTGTCAGGCTGCTTCTCACATGTGGCCGTACACCCTCCGTCACTGAGACAGGCACACGCACCGGCTCTTCACAAACTGTCTCCTTGGACCTGAGCGAGGGGGGAGCCGAGGAGGGAAGACCTCCCAGGAGGGCTCATCAGATGACCCCAGGCATCCCCTCTGCCCGTCCCCGCCCAGGCAGCACGGTGCAGAGGCAGGCCGGGAGCAGGTCACCTTGGTTCAGAGCCTGGCTGGCCACTCGCTGGCCGAGTGTCTCTGAGAAGGTTGACGCCTCAGGACCTCGATTTCCTCCCTATAAACTGGAGATAATTCTATAATTGGAGAGGGAGGGATTTCAGAGAGGTGCGAGACGACCTTGGGGCTGCTGGAAATGCTGGTCCTCCTTGCTGGTGGCGAGGGGTTCCCGGCTATGTACATAGCTTAGAACTGATGTGTGCAGTTTATTGGGCCTCCGCACAGTTGTAGAACTTTTCCTTCCCTCATTGTGTCATCTGGAGGCTCAGAGATTACCCACGTGGACGTGCAGAGCGGGACGCCTGGCGCGTGGACTGCTTCGTCCCTTCCACACTGCTTTCCGGTGTTCGCTGCTGGCCAGGCGCTGTTCCGGGCACTAGGGAGACAGCATAATGCTAATACAGCCTCCTGCCCTGGGGGAGCCCCCATCCAAGGGGACAGACAGACCGGTAAACAGATCCATTAAGACACAGGCTGGGGGCTGGCCCGGTGTTGCAGCAGTTAAGTTCGAATGTTCCCCTTCTGAGGCCCGGGGTTTGCCTGTTGGGATCCCAGGTGCGGACATGGCACCACTTGGCAAGCCATGCTGTGGTAGGCGTCCCACGTATAAAGTAGAGGAAGATGGGCATGGATGTTAGCTCAGGGCCAGTCTTCCTCAGCAAAAAGAGGAGAATTGGCAGCGGCTGTTAGCTCAGGGCTAATCTTCCTCAAAAAAAAAAAAAAAAAAAAGACAGGGTGACAAGAGAGAAGAGAGGGAGAGGATGGGAAGATAATCCCAAAACACGAGATCTGAAGTCTAAAGACTTAGAGATAAAACTCTGCTCCACCGGACAGCTGGGTGACCTTGACCTTGACCTTCTGTGTCCTTATCTATAAATGGGATGATAATAGCCACCATTTTTAATGAGGTGACCCTGCTGCAGGTAGCGTTCTTCTTACTCTGTGTGTAGCCTCTCAAGGCTCCTATGAGGTGTGTTACTCCTATCTCTCAAATGGGGAAATTGAAGCACAGAGAGGTTAAGCACCTTGTTCAAGGTCGCACAGCCAGTAAGTGGTAGAGCCAGGACTTGAACCCAGGCAGTCCAGCTGCACAGCCCACACACTTAAACCACCATGCTGTGCTGTCTCCTGGCAAGTGTGATAACAACAGTGACACTTTTTACACAGGGCTTTTGTGAGCATCAAAGGCATTAATATATGTGAAAGTGCTTTGCCCTCTGAAAAGTGGGCTGTGAGCCCTAACTTAGGTACAGAGTGCTGCAGCCTCAGAGGAGGGCTGCAGACAGGGGAGGCTCCTGGGAGCAGCATCAATGAGCACCTATTGTTTCAGGCCGTGTGGGAAGCCCTGGGAAGTGGAAAGAGGAAGGAGACCCAGCCCTGGCACTCTGGGACCCCCAGGCTCTCGAGGGGGACAGACGCAGATCCTTACAATCCACAACTGGCAGGACAGGGACAGCAGAGGGGGCGGGGACCACGTGGCACATGGCCTGAATGCCATGCTGAGGAGAGCCCCTTTCCTATCCCCTCTCTTCGACGACCCCAGGTCAATATCGGGGTCTTTCCACACCAGCAGTTCTCCAAAGAACACCTTCTGTTCCTTCCATCAGGCTTGGCGTAGTCAGCACCTCCTCCGGGAAGTCCCCCAGGCGTGGCGCTGGCTCTGGGTTCCCACGGCGTTTACCCCGTGGTATCGGTACGGTCACTGCGCATTTATCAGTCTAGCACCAGACTGAGATCTGAATGAGCAAGAGCCTCATTCCAGCCCCTCCATACAGTAGTTGCTCAATAACTGTCTGCTCCAGGAGCGAAGAAATGAGTAAACGTCTTGCCTGCCTCTCCTTCTGAGTCTTGGCCTGTCCGTGCAAAGAAGCCAGACCCCGCCTGAGGGATGGAGAGTGGTGGGGAGGGGGCCTGGAACACGAGGCCTGGACTCTCCTGAGGGGCGCCCCCCTCACAGATCTGGGAAGGCCCCAGCCCGTCTTTGGTGTAGGGACCGCTGAGGAGTCAGGCTTTCCAGTGGGACTGGGAGGGGCCTCTGTGGGGTGGGGGCCACACCCCCATGACTCTAACCCCCTCCCCCGCCCCACAGGTCTGAGCCCCGGGGGAAGCGCAGAGGCCACACCTCTCAGTGTGGCCTCTGATGAGTGCTGGGGCGGGGGACCTGCCCAGGCCCCGGGGCTGTTTAGACTCTGGGCTGTTTAGACGCTGGGCTTAGAGCCGTCCACGCTCTTGTCCTTTAGGAGCCTCTTACCCCCTGGGAGGGGGTCGGGGCCAAGACAGCTGTTGACTTCAGTCCCAGGGGCTGGCTTGTACCTTCAAGTCAGGAAGGATGGGAGTGAGGTGTCCTGGGTACCCCTGCCCTGCTGCGAGGGCCCTGGCAGCCCCCCTGCCAGGCAAGTTGGCTTTTCCCAGCTTGATGGAGGAGGAAGTGGGGCTCCAAACTGGGGACAGTCCCAGGCCGTGACACAAACAGCCTGGGACCCCAGCCCAGGCTGTATGATGGCAAAGTCCACACTCTAACCCCACACCATGTAGCTGTAACCAACTCACCCGGACCCCCGACACTCACACACTCCCACCCTCCCATCTGCGAGGTGTTTGTCCTGCCGCGCGTGTGTGCCCCTTTTACAGATGAGAAAACAGCTTAGGGCAGGGGGCTAGGCTTCTCATCAAAGCCCACCTGGGCCAAAGCCCCGCTCTCCCGTCCACTGGCTTGTGACCTTGAGTAAGTCACTTCCCCTTTCCCAGCCTCTGTCTCCTCCTCTGTAAGGTCTCCCTGTGGCAATGACATCTGGAGTCGAAGGAGTT